CAATTATTATGATAAAGAATAAATCGATATAGATACCTACTCGTATAAATGATTAACTAAGTATTAGATATTTTATGAAATGTGAAATGGGTTTGTACATCTAAAACTCAACCAATGACTCACAATCACAATCGTAGAACATTGTATTAATGTTATATTATATGATATTCGAGAAAGTTAAATACATACAGAAAAAATCAAATAATATCGATCCAAAAGGCAAAAAGAAATAAATGAATACTATTAAATTTAACTTATAAAATAAACTGTATATACTAGATGATTCATGGTCATTCATTGTGTTACAATTTCATTTTGAAAAGACCCTATTTACACACAAAATAATATTAAATATTTAAATTAAAAGTAAATAAATAAATAATTTTGTAATCAAAAAAAAAAAAAAATTACTTCGATTCTTGTGCTGGATGATTTATTATACGAATATAATATATTTTAAATTATTAAATTTTATCATTAAATTATAATAATAATTGATATACTAAACATTTATTTTTATATTATCAATTTTTAAATTGTATTAAAAGATACGATTTTAATTTTCACATACTTTATTTTGTAAATATATATATATATAAAATTTATATAATACCTATATCCAAAAAGAAAATGCTAGTTCATTTTTATTATTTTCTAATGGTAATAGTAGGTATAACGATCATGAATAATTTTTCAATACCTCCGTGACACAGTTTTATAAGCGCATATAGATATTCTATGGTAATATAATTGTGTATTAGTATGGTAAAGTTATAGAATCACAAAATCTAGTTGAAAAATTATTATTTCAAACTAAGTTTGTTTTTTTAATTTTTTACAAATAGACAGACTAAAACTAATGTATCATAGTAAGAAATATAATCTAAAAAGGTTAATTGTGCTTTTTCTATTAAATAAAAATATTTTTAACGCTATAAAAATATTTACATAGAATTTTTGTTCATTGGATATAATTTTATAATAATTGTCGATCAAAATTTTAAACTTATGTTTATATACATTTATTAAAACAATTGTTATTAAATGTTTACCAGCTTATACAGTAAATACCTTTATTTATATACTCTTATAACGATTCAAGTTTACCAAAATTTGAATTTCTTTTATGATTTTTGGTTTAAATATTATATTATTATTTTAAAGCATTTCATTTATTTTCAAAATCATTTAAGAATGTAACTTCCAACAGCTAAAAATATAATATATTTAAATATTTTTAAAAAAAAATCATTAATTCTATCAAACTAATGATATTAAGCAAAGTGATATTTCAAAGTACGTATGTAAATTGTATACATTAATAATTAATAATATACACAAATTAATTTTATATAACTGCGTATATTATAATTTATGAAATAAATATGGAATTGGGAGTACCTATATATCGGTAAATTAAAAAGAAGTTTGATATACAAACAAACATTTTAAATTAATTTGTTGCCATTACCATACATAATATTATATAATAGAGTTATAATTTAAACCACTGAATTGGTTACCGACATTTGTAGCATTCCGTTATTTTAGCGTAATATATTGTAACCAACCAACTGAAAGGCGACAGAAAATCAACAGCCGGCGGGGTGGCAAGAAAAATACTACATTTTAACAAATCTATTGAAGCTGAATTTCTCACTAGAATATTATACACCAAATATAATTTGAAATAAACGTAAAGGAAAAATAATAATAAGCGTCATCGGGTTTGATTAGTATTAAAATGGGAGACTAATAAATTATTGTTTGCTGTCGCCGTCTGAGAATGATCGGCATTCGTGGTTGTGACATTTTATCATCTGCATGCGGATTAAACACGTATAGTATTATGACGTAAAATGTGTTCAGGCAAATAAATCTTTGAGAACTTCATTATAATAATGGTAATAATACAAATGGATTATTATAATAACCACACGTTTCTCAGAAAAACGAATTGATTATAATATACCTACCTCATATATGGGGGACAATCGGTAGTCTAGTGGCTTACAAAACTTAGTACAGAGTCCAGTGCAAGATAATAATACATTTATCATGATACTCATATAATAATATTCAAATATTGTCAATTTCACTAAATTTTTCAAGTTTTTATAACTTGAAACGTATGAAACAAAAAAAAAAAAAATAGAGTAATTAGTAAACAAGCTGGGTTAAAAAGCCAAAAATTTCTCCAGTCTTATTTTATAGTTTTTAGCCGAAAACAATAGGAAGTAAAGTTTTTTTAATATTTAACTTCATTATTTTGTAATTTAATTTATATTTTTTAGTATCTATATCTATTAAAAATTTAAAATTATTAGTAATGAATTCAATAATGATATAATATTGTTTACCAGTGTTATATGTAATAATTAATTATAAACTTATGTGGAGGCCAATAATACAATTTAAAATTGTTAGTAATACAAAAATAGAATTATATTATTTTCTATTTTGGATGTGATGAGTGGGGGGGAGAAAGTAACAGAAATTATAACTAAACTGTGACTGACCTGCAATTTTTTTCTCCCTCATTTTGTTCCAAAAAGTTTCCGACCGGCCAACTTTCCATTGTTTTTCGAACTTAACGCTTACACTACGGAAAAACTTAAAACCGAACTTATCGCCGGCGCCGGCCATAACATTCGGTGCTCGATCGCGTCCGGCACGTCGTGCCGTTGCAGGTGGTCCGCGGACGGTTGTCGCTCAAACGTTTCTACATTATTATCCCTAGCAAGCGCGTTGCGACTCCTATCGCTGCACGCGCAGCCGTAACGCCCACCGTCGCCACCGCAGCAACGGTTCAAAATGCGTTCACGCCGAATCTTACGGAAATAAAATTACTCACCGCTACACGGTCAAGACTAATTTTTAATTTTGTTGTCGAAATTTAATAAATAGATCATCGAATTGGAACCATATAGGTATTATTGTACATCTCTAACAGTTAATGTGACAATTTAAAAAAATTATTATATGCGATATTTATAATAAACTTATAAAAAAAATTGCACCTGTCCCGCAATAGCGACAATTAACGCTAAAAAATATACAGCGCACAGATGATAATGCCAAACGCTACTGAATACCATTATCATCTGTGTATATAGTACTATAAGTATAGTCGTTTGCGCATATATACTTTGTTCGTTTAATCATCAGTTGAGTAAATACAGACATTTAGAATCTCTTATTCAAACAAATTCATAAACGTATAATGAAATATTTTTGTACAGTTATAGGTACATCGATTGTTTTTTATTTACCGACACCACTATTTATGTATATAATTTTTTGTTTAAAACTATATTACTGCGGTGAACTGGAAGTGTAGGACTATATAGTACTTAATTGTTATAAAATATTTATAATTACTGCACAATAATCTATACGTTGGTAATATATAATATTATATCCATTTCCATACGTTGACCATTATAGTAAAGATTACGTAGTTACAACAATTTAACAAATTCGTAAAGTTTATTATTGTATACATTTTAAACGTTCTCTACGTCCGAACCTATATAATTTATAAAATCCATGTTTATTCATCTCAAAACACTTGCTTTTTACTCGAATATAATTATAACTCATTTCGTATTCATAAATAGGATGGATATTGTTTCCTCTTCAAAACATTTTTGTATTAACACCTTTTTAATACGTCTAAATATTTTTATATGAATATGTATTTATAACAAAAATTAACTTGAAATAATGTTTACATAAATAAATGATATGATGTAAATTTAAATATGATATTAATAATAATTATATATTAGAATTTCGATTTTTTTTTTTGAATACCCAATACCTATTTAATTTGATATTATTGGAAAATATGAAGGCACAAGCGTGTACAACTATTTAACTATTTGTCCAACCTTTTTTGAATTTAAAAACGTGTTACGTAAAATATCTATATCTACATATTTGATTATGTTGTTACTTTTTTTTTTTTTTATCCAATGTTTGTTATGTTATTATCAGTTTATTTTTCTTTTAGAAAAATAGTACTTATTTGATTGTTGTTATATTAATTTTCAACAATAAGCATTTCATTTAAATTTCTTATTGGACATGTAGTACATTCTAAATAATGTATGTTATTTATTATTTATTAATTAAAATTTCTGATAAGATTATCTTATTTTTATTGAAAAATAAACGGTAAATTATGTGAACAGTATTGATTATTGGTTTTATTAGTTATGCCTATCAGTTATCGCTTTTATATTTAGTAGCTACTAGTATTATCAATTTTTCAAATTTCTGATAATCTCTATAAAATATATTATTTATTATTAAATTTACTTATACGTATTATAAGTAACAAATAATCATCAAATATTAAAAATTTGTTTGTACTTCAAAAAGTCATCATTTTCAATACTTTACTATTGACAGCATTAAAAAAATTACATTAAATAAGTAACAAATAAATACAAGAAAAAAATGTATTTTTTCATTAAAGTATCTAAATATGTAGACATGTATACTATAAGTTCCATGAAATTTATCGTATAGGCCATAAAAAGATAATTCATTGTATATAAACCTAAATACTAGCATGATATAATATTTGTGTATGTGTTATACTTTTAATATTATCGCGCGTTGAAATCAAATTTTACCGGTTTTAAACCATACAAGAAATTGATAAAATGTACATACCTGGACAGCTATAATGCAATAACAAAATCATTATTGTGTCCTCTTATATAATGACTACTGTGGTGGTTAATATTATAGGCAAGTATTTACTCATAAAAATTATGTTGCTAATCGTTTAGCGTCACATTACAACATATAAGCTCTAGTTGTCTACAAATCATGATAATAAACGTATCGAGGTGTTTATATAGTCACCAAGAAATTTTGATTTAGCGTCGCCTAGGCGTAACACATAAACAGCTGTAGTTTATTACTGTATCATTTGTATCGTAGTTTATAAAATAACGAGTAAATAAAACCAATAACAAAAAGCTTACCTTCTAAGTATTGTTCCGAATGACATTTGGGATGTTTCCATTTCTAAATAACAAGAAAACATATTAAAATTCGTGTTAAAAATTTATACGGAGTGAATTTTTTCATATTTTTTTTACTATTTTAATGTCACAGGCGTTAGTTATGAAAGTCATCAATTAGTGGTTATTTTAGCTCATGAGTAGAAAATGCTATTTGTACCCAATTACTTCATTATTTTGCCATATTTATAACTACATTATAAGATTTATGATTTCAATGACAAGTAAAAATTTGTAACAGTCTTGAGTTTTGACAAATATTAAATTTATGTTTAAGTTATGATCGGCCACCAATTATACAAATTAATATCTTATAAACTCCATAATACTTAGAGAAAAACAAATGTTAATATTATTATTTGGTAAGCAATTGTTTTTTTTTTTTTTTTTTTTTGTTATGTACGTTTTATTATAACAACTAACTATCGGTTTTAAATTTTTACAGTACATTTTAGCTTAAATCGTTGTAAGAATTCGTTTATAGCATTTCACAGAAAATCTCTTTCCTATTTTTTATATAATGTATTTTTCTAATAAAAAACTACAATTATCTGTTTAAAATGTAAATATCAAATCGACTTTGGCACCAAGTTAATTTTTATATTTTATACAGAACTCATTAAGACGTATTCACTCTATATTAAGAGTAATTTTAAGTTATTATCAAATCGTTTAAAATTTATAATTTTGAACAAATTATGTAAAAAAAACGAAACTTCTTAACCAACGCCCTAGTATGTGTGAACAACCTCCGAAAATACCTTCGATTCGCCGGTATATTTAGTTCTACAGGGCAGCGTCTGAGTGGATTTAATGAGATGTGGAGCAGACGAACTTTTACAAGCGCCCCCTAGTTCTGAGTTAACTTCTCCACCACCACCATCCAGTGAAACAGCTGTCGGACTAGGCAACTCGTAAGAAACATTTTTTACCGGAAATTCAGATTCACTGGTCAAAGGTAATCGATTCGGTCGCGTCGCTGGTCTGTAAAATTGGTCGCTTATTTCTACTGCGGGAGTCGACCACACTGGTGGTTCCGTGTGTTTAATAGTCACACGACGGTCGGCGTGTCGTCTCTGCAGCCTCTCCCACGTCTCTTTCCTTCGGCATTTCTGATTTCCCGCTGTACGAGACAAATAAAAAATACTCGTTAATATTAAACATTCTGTATTATTTATATAATGCATCATTCACAGATTTTACATTCTTGACACAACCATTTAACATATTAAAGAAGTCGATAAATAATCGTAGATTATGAATGTATTGATATCTTAAGATCGTCTGAAATTCTTTATGTAGACACCATTTACTAATGGTTACTATCAATTATACGTATAATAGATACATTATAGTAAAATATTTGTGATAGGATGTGTATTTTAAACAAATTATGAACAACTGATATAATTGCTATTCAAGTTCCGTACCGCTATGTCTAATAACAATATTATTTTAGATAGAAAATAATAATAAGTACTAAATATTTTATAAACGTGATTAGCATAGCGTGTTAATCTTTATTAGAATGTTTTTCTTACCACTTTAAATTTATCTAATTTGCGTAGCATAATAATATTGTGTTTTATATAAATATAGTCAAGCATTAAAATCTGCAATATATTACATTATATAACCAAGTATCAAGTATTATATTATATATAAAAAGCAATAACGTCTAGAATGGTTAGGTAATATACGGAGATCGGACGGACAAGTATTAAAAGAAGCTCTAGTTAACAATAAAAACAAAAAACGTTCATAGGGAAAACCAAGAACTCAAATGGGTGGATATTGTGGCTTAAGACATCAAAAATATAAACGAGGACTTGATTTTTGATAATGTATGTGATAAAAAGAAGTAGAGAGGTTTTTTAACTAGCCTTTAATGGGCTGAAAAGTTGAGGAGGAAGAAGAAAAAAAAGAACCAAGTATCATATTAATAATATGAATCAGTTAAAAACTGTTATAAGTAATATAAACACTAAGATTTTTAACTCATAAAAAAAAAAACTGATTTTTGGAATTTATAGCTGAAATCCCCCATATTTAGCAATACAAACAGTTCTATAGTCTACGAAATAAAAATAAAACTAAATTTTGATATCGAAATAATTTTTAAAAGTAATTGTATTGAATATTCACAAATTTTATCTGGAATAACAAAATCTACGGCAGAAAAATTATAAATAGTAACATTGCCAACCACAGAAAAACACAGCTGACCTACTAGGTTTGTGTTATTTATAGTATTTATCCAAGTATAAAAATCGTTAGAGTAATAAATATACATACCTATGACATAAATATTCATCAAGCAGTAAAACAAATTAATGTGAAATATACATAAGTCTGATGAAACGAATATTATCACGATATAGTACTTTTTACTACCGAAGAAAATATGATATTATATCAAAAAAATCTATCAAATAGAAAACGATATTTGACTATGATTTAATTTTTAGCACATAGGTTTTATTAAATGACATAATTTTTTTAATATAATATTAATACGATTGATCACATTTTTTTCAACAAAATAGTATTATTGATTAGTAAAAAAGTATATATAGATACGTATTAACGTTAACTAAAACGAAAATATTACATGCCCTCCAGTTACGCTCAATAACAAAGTCCTTCCAACAGTAAATTAAGTTAAGTACTTAGGGCTCACATTTGACAAACGTCTTACGTGGGGCCCTCACCTGAAACTAAAGCGTAAACAAGTCAACTCCAGGCTGCACCTCCTCAGACCTCTTTTAAAATCCAAATTATCCCTAACAAACAAGGTGACAATATATAAAGCGATAATCCGTCCGGTCTGGCTCTATGGCATTCAGTTATGGGGGTCTTCAAAGCCTTCAAACACTAGAACACTACAAGCTTTTCAATCAATATGCTTATGCCTAATCACCTCCTCCCCCTGGTACGTAACAAATAAAAATCTCCACAAAGATTTAAAACTACCCACTCTTAACGAATTGGCCAAAACCCAATATACCAAATTCTTTTCTAAGCTACACACTCATTATAATCCTTTAATCAAAAAATCATCCTCTGCAACACACGCCCCCAAAAGACTAAAAAGGCTGTGGCCCCGTGACTTGCTCAAAGCATAAAATTATAATGTTAAGACCTAACTAAACAATAACTTAATGTAATCTCTTGTCAGGTGACACTACTGAGGGTCTTCCTATTCGAATATTTTTTTTTTCTTAATGTTATATAAACTTGTCATCATACTTACTGATTATTGTAAAATAGATTGTAAATATATTTTTCTTAATAAAAAAAAAAAAAAAAAAAAAAATAAAACGAAAATATTAAAACTTTTTGATATTTACATTTTGAATATCGGTGGTGTGGAGGCGATGCAGTTCCTATACCGGATTCGGGTTCATCAGATCGTCCAGGAGGAGTGACGGACGATTCGGTCGAAGATCCACAACTAATATGATGGTCGGTCACCGAATCATCGGTTGAACTACATGGTGTCACAGCCTCCTCGGTCGAAGAACAGTTACCAGTGTCTGAACGATCAGATAACCACGTAAAGCTCGAAGACCTACTACAAGTTGGTGACGTTTGCGTGGCCACTTCTAGGTGTGGACCTCCATCGCTGTCTTGTCGTTCAAGCTGTAGAGACATCAAACAATACGTTGTATTACAGTATTATCAAAATTATGTAAAATTATGTATTCAGCCTTAAATTGTATAAATATAAAAATTATATTCATGAGGTATACAATACATAAAACAAGAGTACCGGACATTATAGTTAAGTACTATATATTTACATAATAACTATTTAAGCCATAACAGTGCATATTACCTGTTTTTGTTGATGTGCGATGATTGTTTGAAAACGGTTAAGAGACGACCGACGAACAGGTGTTGGTGGCGTAGTGTTGAGTACCTTGACTTTAAGCAGCAAAGCTGACTTATCTTCATAACAGTCTGGTAATTGTAAACTACTTTGATCCAAAGATCGAGAATGACATCGTTTTCGTTTAGTTGATGACAGACGGTAACGCATGTTATTAGGAAAAATACCACTGCTACAGTTATCACCGAAATATACCTTTTCTTCTGGAATATAAAAATATATAAATACAATATTAACTTTACGCTTTTATGAATACCTAATACTTGTTTCAATAAAAACATAAAATCAATAATATTCAAAAATAATAAATGATGATAATAAGATATCTTATATTATATTATATAATATTGTAGATCAAGAACATAATTTATGAAACAGATCTTAGAAAATATAGGAAACTAAAAGTAGCTGTAATTGATAGGAACAAGTAGAGAGCCATCGAAGTTATTTAACCAATCTAAAGATTGAAAAAAAAAATAATAGAAAAGAATCTATATTATATACCTACCTAAATATCGTCAGAATTATTTTGTAAATTTGAAATTTTATTTATATAATAATAATATATATTTGTAAAGACTTTTTAACTGAGTAATAAATATAATAAAAAAATAAAAAATAATATTGTGCGATTTTCAATTGACGTAGCCAAATAAATACGAATCCGCATTTGGAGTAATCACTATATAACCATCTGGTCAGTGATTAGTTCAAGTCTGATCGTGTACTCGTAAATTAGATAGTTATTTTTAAGAACTATATAACATAACAAAATGATTATTTATTCAAAAGCACACTGACCTATTCCTTCAGCACATGCCTGGCAAACAATCCGTTCTGGTAATTGCAATTCTAGTATAACGTCATCGAATCGACCACCTAAGTTGTTCGTTAAGTAGTCGCCATTTTCTGTGCTGTAACGATTGTCTTTATTTGCGTCATTGCAGCTGCTGTTTGGCGGCCAGTTCGTCTCAAGCTTGCCAGGCGACTCTGCTGATTTCTTGGACAATTGGTTGAAGACTTCATCAAGCTCTTCCTATAGTACGAAACGTTGAAGTTATATATATAACACATTAGATGAAATATTGTATTTTTCCAAAAAATAACCAACAGACTCACAATGCCAACATATGAGACACGCTAGTATGCCGGTTAAATCATGAGTGTCGCCTAAAATATGATCCCAAGTTGTATATGACATATTATTATTACTATTATTATTTTAATCAGAGACAACGCGTTCAGGAGTTCCCAAAACCAGTCACTCCTGGCCTGTTTCAGTTCGCCGACACTGTTCGCGAACCGAAACGAGAGGCTACAACGTTAACGACTGCAGCTACAGTCAAATAATTGAGGAAATTAAATTTGTAATTATAAAGATACATATAATGTAGGTATCTTCTAATAAACGTTGAATCGTTAAAAACAATATAAACAAATATAATGAACATAGGTACATATATTATTGTGATACGATTGTCGTGCATGTTTGGTAACTGCTGCCACGGTCTTATATATTATATTATTATTGTTTCGCAGTGGGAAGTCGTATGACCATATCGGTAAGAGTTGGTGTGCGTATAACATATATATATATGTCAGTTACACAGTAAGGCCTACGTGCGTTCAGTAGAAGTAGGTACTAGGTACCAACAACATATAAGTATTATAGTGGGCATAAGTCCGGCCTTGTCTGTGCCAAACGTCATATGGCGGCGGTTGTGCGATTGACATATTTACCAGTTGTTTGTTCTTTTTTTTTAAATTTACCGTCCATCGCGGTGTGCCCACGAGCACTCAATTTCGGCTACCTACCATAGTTCGATCACCATCGTGCTAATAGACACAGACACTAGAAAATAACGTATCCAACACCATAATTATAATAACATTATGCCATCATCGGAATACAAATTTCGATGGGTTAGTTTAAAATCGTAATACGAGGTATACAATATGCACGTTTTAAAATATATAAATGATATTACAATGGTTTTTAAAAATAAATTTACTTAAAAATTATCTCGATTAACAGTAAAAAAAATGTTTGACAAAAATTTAAATGAAACTTTCCTTATGAACATTGAGTATTCGATTTGCTATGTAAATAATTTTAAAATCATATAAGTATAAACTACAGTATATGAAATATAGAAACCTACTAGGTACCTATTATCATTATGAAATTAAATAAAACGCTGGGGTACAACTCAAGATAATATTATGATTGTGCATTTATAATATAGTAATATTCAACTTTCAATTTATCAAAATACATTCAAAACAATAAATTTGATGAAAAAAATATATTTATTAATTAAATTTAAAAAAAAATTTACAAAACGCAAGCACGCCCAATCAAAGCGAATAATATGTTTTTCAATTGAACTAAAAATTGAGATTTAACCGATTTAAAATTTAAAGATAACTACACTTGTAAAGTTAAAATAAATTTTTTTTAATAAATACCTATTGACAACTATTTAACTATCTGTATTTTATTATACGGATAAATTGTTGCTAAATAATTAGCAACAACATCATTTTATTAAATACCTACACGTTTTCAATTTCTATTAAAATTAATTACCAAACGAATTTCATTTAGTTTATTTTAAATTGTGAAACCATTTATTTTCAATTTAAACCTAGAATTCAAAAATATTAACTATTTATAATAATTATAGATTTTTCATAGCATGAATATAAAGTGTACCATTTTAAGTAAATTACAACTTATTATAAGAATAAACTATAAAGAAATAACATTAAAAGTATACAAACAAGTGATTCATAATAACATTTTTATCAAATGTTATAAAAATATTATGCAATGTCAAAACTTATATAAGTATTAACTATTATTTATGTCATCCAATAATTTTTAGAAAAATTTTAAAAATTGTTAAACTATAACAAACATTGTGAAATTTTGAAGAATCAGTTATAATAGTCAACGCAATATGACGAATTTATATGTAATTATTATAGCTATACAAATTCATCATGATTCAATGTATAACTATAAACTTTTGGACAAAAATCTGACAATATGATATTTATTTTTATTACGTGTTTTTAACTATTTTTTCAATTATATCATTAAAATACTTAGTATAAGAATATTTTCAAGGACTTCGAGTGCATGCATAATTCATAACCATATAATAACGCACTTAAATCAATCATATCAATCAAATAGTAATCAATAGGTGTATTATTTTAATGATTTAATGATTATATTATTGTTTTGGATACGCATCCAAAACGTATATATACGTATATATTATAATATGTCATAAATATGGAATCAATATATATATGAAAACTGACAAGAGTACCTCACCAATTGGTAATTGAGCTGAAGTAGATAATATATTTTCTTTATTATACACCAAAATCGACATCTTAGTTTGTGGGTGATAAAATTTATTTTATAGTTTTGTACGAAAACATTAAGAAAATTTGATATCATCCGTTTTTAAGAAATTAAATATAGGCAATTTTCTAAATGGTTACGTGTATTTCATGCATTTCAGAATGTGTGATCATTAATTTGTCTGAAATATAGTGTAAAAGAAATCACCTTTCCTACTGATCATGCACGCACATGTCATAAATTTATAGTCGACGAATAATATTTTCACTAAAAACATATACTTTTAGTTCGACAAAGATGGTAATGTGATAAGAAATCTGAAAACGTATTACTTAAATTTTTATTTATTACCTTGGTAAACTTTTTTTTTAAATTCTGTATAGTTATTGTTTAAAAATTCTTAAATTTTTTACATTTTAAGATCAAATTTAAGAGAAATTTTATAAAAGTCCACTATTTAAAGGCTAATATAATTATTATTTTCAGTAAACTTTATACAGATTTAAATACGTATGTTTTTTAAAATTTTAGTAGGTAAAAATAAAATATATTTAAATCAATTTTTTTTTTTTTTTTAAAAAAAAAATTTTTTATTTAATTTTAACATTTAATTACAAACTTATTTAAAATTCAGAAGTAAAGTAATATGCCGAATAATTTTAAATATACGTACAATTTATAAAAACTCTCAGTACTGATAACGATTAAAATATTAAATCTACTGATCGATCGAACATATTGGTCATAATAAGATTTATAAAAGGTTTGTATAAGTACCACAATTACCTAAATAATAAAGATAACTTTATAATACAATATACATACAAAATAAACGAATAGAAATTTACCGCAAACCCATCAATCTGTAGTAAATATTATATAATAGTATTTTATTATAAACTGTAAAATAAATCAATACATTTTTTCAATCTTATTAATACTTGCAATGATTGAAAGCAAAATGTGATATTTTTATAAAATATTCATTGAAATACATTTGAAAATTATGTTTTGTTTAGGACCTTTTATATACAAAATAGGTTAAGTGCAACTGAGAACTAAAAATTGTTTATATACCAAATCTACGACAGCTCTGGTGACCGGTTTGTAACTACGTCTAAATGTTATGAACATGAATTTAAGTATAAGTAGGTATTTACTTATCTTACGATTTCATTTTAAGCAAATTACGTTTTTTTTCAAAAAACATTTTTAGTCCAATATTAAAACGGTTAAACCACTTAAAATCTTTGACAAATTCTTATTCCAAAATAAATATTTTCACTAAGCAAATAAAATAACAAAAAATAAACGCATAAGCTGAGATTCATTAGTGCTAAGAAAATATATTGAAATTATCTATACTTAACGATGTGACAGCTTAACTATACGGTTATTCAAATTTAAAATAGAACAATTCTTTAAATTGTATTTCATGGTTTATTCTATTATGTTTGGAGTACTAATAATAACATAATAATATATTATTAACAAATAGTAAATACATTTTAATGATGGTTTATAAATTATTCTTACTAACATCATGCGACTAAACCACATGTCAATATGTTTAAACTAATGGCTAATGGGATCGGATGTTTTTTTACAGCATATATTAAGTAAAAACATTAATCTGTTCGAGACAGAATGGAATATTTTTTTTTGTTTACCTGTATATTATTTTTCACATGAAGATTTTAATAAAATATGCTCGAGTAAATAACGAAAAAAAGTTGAACTCGGAGTTTGAATTAACAAGATATCTCACAAATACATTGTAAAAATTAAGAATACATTATTTTATTATTTTAAAACGATTCACATCGACATACGGCGATGGTTTTACACGTCTTATATATTAATAATGTTAAAAAAAAAACTCGTATAAAAAAGATGATAAAACATACTAACATAGAATATATGAAGATTTTTTTGATAAACAAAATATTTAAATTATTCATTAGGTACACTAATCTATTAACGACCCAAGTATTGTGTTACTCGTCAAAAAGTTTTATAAATATTTTTCTACTATACAGTAATTTATTATTTATTTAGACAATATCAATTTTACTTATGTAATAATGATGAATTTATAAAAATATATTACGTTTTAAATTATTAAGTCATTAATGTTAAATTATATTGAAATTTATAATTTATAAATATATTTGTATTAATAGTAGATACTATGTATTTTCAAATAATACTATTTATGTGATACGCCTTGTGTATACATAGTTGGCTACCACACTCACATGAATTTATATTTAATTGCAATATTTTTATTTTTTTTTTATTATAAGGAAATTCGAGTTGAATAAAAAAAATATATAACAATATTCATTTAATTGTTCAAACTAAATATTTGAATAATGACTATTTTTAGAGAAACTTTAATTTTTAAATTAAAAATAATTTAGTAAACGATTAAACGCAAGAATGGTCGTATTTAAAAGAAATAATAAATTACTATATCATCTATCGATTAAAATTGGTCCATATGTTTTTAAACAAATGTTTATTGAAGTACATTTTTAAGAGATATATTTTTCTATTTTTTCTAGAATTATTAATTATATTAATATTAAATTATAATAAATAATAATTATAAAATTTTAATTTGTATGTAATTTATAGACGTTCTGCATAGAAATGTATGCATTTTAAAATGTATAAAGTGTAAACCAAAAAAATAATGATGTAAATAATCACATATCTAATTGTAAATCCAATACAGAAATATCGTCTTTCATTGACATTCAATTCAAACTATAGTAGATATTTATATTATTTATAAGTTTAATATCAACATCAAAACCCCACTTGAAAATATTATACTAAATACATTAAATCCTACATTATTATATTAGTCACACCTATAAATTTGTTATAGTACTATACACAATACACATGAATATTTTATTAAATGTAGGCTATATCTTATTTTAATATATTTATAATTTTTACATATTCATGGTTATTCTAATCTTCTATATCTTGTATGTCACTACACTCATTACACATATTAAATAAGTGATATTAAATAATATGTATGTACTTCATGGTTATTTTTGAAAAGGAAAGGTTTAGATATTCCAAAAATCCACGTACAATGGCACTCTGTATAGTTTGTTATTAGGTGTTTAAAAACATTAAAATTGAACTTAAGAACAAAAAAAAAAAACAAAATATTATACGTCGAAACATAATGATATATAAAAAATATGACCACAATATAATAATCTTTTATTCTTAATTGTTACAGTTTGTCGTTAAACGAACAAATAACACGCACACATATATTAAATACCCTCCCCCCACGATCCTTACAATATTTGTAGTTTTCGTAGTAGTGGAAATTACGGTGGAAGTCCAATAATTATTCCAGTACATAAAAAACAATACAAATATCGAGAAGCACATGGCAGAAAATGTGACATTAGCATCTAGTGATATAGAATAACTTATGTAACACGGAGAATAATTATAATCGAATTTATCAAACTCACTACTCATCAAGTAAGTATAATCACTACACATGTCTTAAATTATAAATTTTTTTATACTTAATAAAAAAATAATTAATATGTAAATGTACTAGATTTTAAAAATAAATAAATTTAACACAAATTAAAAAAAGGTTTCATAAAATCAAACTTACAGCTACTTTTTCTAAATAGTTTTCCATTTCCTGGTACGGATCATATCGGGCAGTCAATTTTTCGGAAGCCATCTAAACAAAGTCTGACGTCCTGTAATAATACACATAATACAATCAGAAAAAAATCGTAACTTTTCTTCAATACTAAATAAAAATAAAATTTTATTTGATTTAAAACAAATTCCAAAATGAAAACGTCAAAGTACTTTTGTTTTATAATCAGTAAATATTTATACAACATTTGGTATCAAATAATAGGCAGTTCTGTCTACTGATTATATCGTTGAAAATAGAACAAAATTAAAGGCTTTATATATCTATCAATTGTAAAAATGTTCAATGATCATTTTGATGATATAACTTAATATTTACCTATATGGGCTTATAATAATATTAAAAAAAAAAATAATTAAGAAATTTAATAAAAATTAAGTAGTCACATTCTTCATATAAATGTATAATAGGAAAGAAAATATTTTAGTAAATTTTTAGTAAATAACTCTTTTTATAAAGTAATTTAACTGTAATATATATTACAACAACTAAAAAAAGGCAAATTTATTTATTAATATATTAAAGTATTTTTTATTATATTGTATAAAATATTAGCAATTATATTCGATTAATATTAAAATTAAATCAAAAAAACTAAATATATACATGCAATTTATGTTAAAATATCATGTACCTATGCCATAAGATTTAATACTCGTCGTTTACAACAACTACTAATATTAACTATTTCAAAGATAATGGATACCAGACAGTAAATCCGATGATAGTGCGTCAACGTATGGGTTTTTTAAAAAACATTTTTAATGAGAAAATATTAACATTGAAAGTGATATGAATAATAACTTCATTAAAACTAAATAATTATAATAACAGTGGTTTTTTAGCTATTACTTATAACCCATGAATAATTAATATAATGACGTAAGACCAAAAAAAAAAAAACATTAGAGCTGTCTACCATGGTGTATAAGTATATTACAATAGAATAGAGTATTACAATAATACAAGTATTGTGATGCATAGCACATATATGTATAGAGGTAAGAACAGTTTCGATGAACGAAGTCGTTCTAATTTAATTATTTGACGTTTATGCGGAATAATTAGTCACACATGAGTCAAGTCGATAAACCCACAAAAACTATGTAAAACAATGATAAAGCTTTTTAAATAGTTTTTTATGATACTTGTAGACTGGAAATAATTTTGACATATATTTTTGTGTATAGATGTATTATACGTATACTATAATATCATATAGCATACTATAAATACAACAGTGATCTTCAAACTGTAATTTATAATAAATATTACAGAAATACAAAATGTAGTTTTTATTTAGCTCATCGCATTTCTTTAGGTTACGGATAAATATTTTACCAAGCATTGATAATATTTTTGTGCTTATACAATGTAATTGTATACTGTAGATATAGCTGTTACAAGCTCGTGAAGTTTGAGTAATAAACGATATATTAATAATGTCTATGTTTTCTGATGGCACGCAATAACAAAGCATTGTCATTAAGCCAAAATATTTCATGAAGGTATTTTGATCATAAATAATTTGTTTCGCAAACATACATAAAATCGTGGCAATCGAATCGATCAGTTAATTGCATTTGTATTATATTATACCTACTTATATAGGCTATATTATTATTTTACATAAAAAGTTGGTAATTAAAATCATCACTTCTTATTCGTTAAATTGAAAATTGAGTTAAATATATCTTTTAATTGTTTGTATACAACCAGGTCTGCACTCTCCATTCAAATGAAAAAAAAAATCATATTTAAATTGCATATTTTTTATTTATAAAAATCATTTACTATTTTTTTATTAAAATACACTAGTGTCAGTTTGCAAGGAAGGTAGTTATTATAAGATATACTATATTATGAGACAGAAGTTGGGAGATGTGATTGCTTAACTTAGATTTATTTTGGGTGATTCTTTTAGTAGTTAATTTATTACTTTGAAATGATTAAAATATTATTTACATAATTTGAAACTATTAAGAAAAAACTTTTGAAATCAAATTATATTTTTTTTCGTCTTTACCTTTATAATTTTTAAGTATTTTGAATGACAGATATTTTTATTTACCAATTTTCCAATATACATTTTAGCCGTGAGTTATATATATAAAAATCGAATTTCGAATGAGTATTATTAATTAGTTAAGTACTATAAATATTTAAGTTAAGACGAACTGAGTTATAGCAATCATTTTGTGAGATGTCTATCTATATACGCCTTACTTCTGTAGTTCTATTCCACATCACTCAACTCATTTAAACTTTAAATACTTACTGTTTTATTATTATTATTATTATTTATTTAAACGTTGTGTTTACTTTGATTTTTGACAATTATTTGGTACGGTATAAAAGTTGTTTACAAGAAGGAAGAGTAATTAACAAATTAACAGAGATCATTTTATATACATAATTGGTAAATTTTAATGTAAATACAGTTAACGGAAGAAAGTAAGAGGTGTTATGGTAAGGAAATTATAGGAATTGTAATCTTGTTAATTAGGGATGTTAAAGCCAATAACTATAGTTAAGTAGTAGACAATTAATAAATATTTGTTCAACATTCATTTTGTATACACAAAAGTTCTCAGGAAAATATTCTGCTTTGAAATATGAAATTAAAAATGTATTTTGTCATTCAAAAAAGTAAAAATAAAAAATAAAATTTGTTTTTTTTATAATAATGATTTAATAATAAAAGTATAATCCTATACATAAATTATAAAAAAAGAAAAGGAAATAATATCATTCGAAGAATATACTGCACTTTATCACAGCTAAGATTTAACTACGACCGTTTTTTAATCATAATCCAGTTTATATTGGAGAATATTTTATTAAATGAACAATATTCAGTATAATATTGCAGGTAAAAAGTTATTGTTATTATAGTGAATCGTTTTTTTTTTTTTTTCAAAAATTGCACTTTTCTACTAAGTTAATTCAACCTTAATTTATACTACGATAAGGCATAAGGAAATATTTTGCAAGACGCGTAAGACTAAAAATATGCAAGAAATTTAAACTGAAAATTTCTTAATAAACAATTTGTATTCATAACACGAAACATCAATATTTATGTATATAATATATTACATATCTGCATGCAAATTTGAAAGATGTATGACTATTGACAGTTTTCTATGAGTGAAATAGGCAATAACAACTGCTTTTTTATATCTGTTTCAATATTGCATTATGTACAGATAATATATAATATATAATGTCCAAGATGAAAAATTAAGAGATGAAATGCACAACAATTAAAAAATAAATATAAGTACCTCGTTAGGTTAATATAAAATTCAACAAAAAAAAAATTTACATAAAACAGTTTAAAATTCAAAAAAGCCGATTTGTTATGTTAGAAATCAATTTTTGTACTTAAAATTCTTTGGATGTAAATTAAGAAAGAAGGAAAAAATAATATGTTTATGGTAATAATTAGGGTTAGGATGTTTATGACCTTAAAAACACTAAAAAATACATGCAAATATGCACAATAAATATCAAAATATACATTTAAAAAAAATTAAATGTCTTTTTAAAATTAGTTTATTAGGTACTAATCCAAAATCTATTCCTAATCAATTTACAATACTATTTTTATAACCTTAGACTTAAATACAAATATGAGATTTTTGAAATTAAAAATAAAGGCATCACCACACTATTGCGATCATCGTTCATAAACATGATTATATTGATTAATAAACATATAATTATAGTAAAGATAAATAAGTAATAAAGATAAGTTAATAATTTAAACTACACGTTTTT